TTCAAACTTTTCTGTGTGGCAATGGACCGACTAGAAGTGAAAATATATATGTCGAAGCTTCACTTTTGTTAGAGATATTATTGGGACTGGAGCTACGAAAAATATAAATCTAATGGCTGCAATGATCTTCTAGCTTTTAAAATTCAAAATGTTCTATGATTTGTCTAATTTTTGGTGTAACAATTGTCGTTTGCCAACCACGCAATGGATTGATATTTCATTGGCATGTGAATCTTTTGCGTTTGTTTTCTTGGTACAAAATCTTTCGTACAGCCTGCGGTGTTTACCGTCGTGTTTAGTTGAAATTGATTCCTCAGATTCATAATTGGGGCTACCCTATTAGTAAAATCTCCTCCATTAACTATAACTACATTTTATTTTATTTTTTTAATTTTGAATTGAATGGTAAGAGATAATTTTTTTTACGTTTTTAATCTAAGACACCCTTATATTATGTTATCTAGATATAGAATTTATTATTGTTGTGGATATTATATTAACTTTTTTGTATATCATTGACTTGTACTAAAAATTATGATGCATGTTGATTTTGTGAATAATTTATAATTTACAAACTTAATTAAATCAAAATTTTTAAGCATATGAGTATTACAATTAAAGTTGTAAAATAAATAAAGTCAAATTCCTTAAAACTTAAATTTGAGTTGATATTATGTACAATAATGAACCAACTCAATTCGAATAACTTGAATTTGAACCTAATTCGTAAATTTTATTTAGTACTCAAGTTTAATATAGGATTTGAATTTAATTAAAATTAAAATTTTGATCAATATTTCATATATATTTAGTTTTTAATATAATTGAGTAAGGTTAAATTTAAATTATAACTCATATTCAACTCTACTTAATTTTTCATGGTGAGTTTTCAACTCAAACTTGATTTCAAATAAAGTTGAATCCAACTTAAGTTCAAGTTGGGTAATATAACCCATTTACAACACTAATTAGACCAACTTTGAAATCTTAATGACTACTAGAAGAATGTCTAGAACTGCAAAATTAACAAAGTGAAGATTGAGGACTAACTTATACTTTGAGTCAAAAATTAAGGACCAAAGAAAGCAATTTAGCTTAGACGGGAGAAGAAAACACAGCATTTGTTTGAGTAAAGGTGTAAATAAGGATTTCAACTTTACTTTTTTTTTTTATTTAAGGATGTTAACTTTGTCAATTTTTGAATAAGGATGTCAACTTTTAATATTTTTCTAAATAAGGATGTTAATTTTGTTAATTTCTAAATAAGAATGTCAACTTTCAATCTTTTCTATTTAAAGATGTTAACTTTCAACTTTTTCTATTAAACTTTAGAAAGTACCAAAAACGTCCTTCAACTTCAATTTTCAATTAATAAAATTATTTCCTAATTCATGGAACAATTAATTAAATTTTATTTAATTTTATTAATGGTAGGTGGGACTAATTAAATGGGAAAATA